GGAAAAAGAGAAAGTGGACCAGAGCTAGTCACCAGGAGACACTGCTATTCTGTCTCGTGAAGGTTTTGAAGCAACCTACAGCTTTTAAGCTTCTGGGTTTCACCATGTTTTGCTATCAATCCACCAACTCTCCTTGTCATCAATTCTCCTTTGTCCTATGTGAATACAGAGGAAACTGGCCTTCACAGAGGCTTCAGAGGCACCAGGTTAGACTCTTCCTCCCCTCTCCTTTCTCCTCCTCCCCAGTTTATCATCAACAACATCATTATTATTATTTATTATTTACTATGTGTCCAGCAGTCTCTTAAGGCTTTATGTAAAGGTAAGTCTCACAATAATCTTATGAGGTAACTATCATTAACTCATTTTGCTGATGATAAAGGAAGCTAAGCGAGATTGTTTTACTGCCTCAAGGTTACACAATGAGGAGCAAATTTTAGATGATTAAAGCACAGATCTAACTGCAGATGATGTGTTCTTAACTGCAAAGTTATAGGCTTGCCTTAAGGGATTTACAATGTGGCATAGGATCAAGGAACAATGGACCAGATGTGTGGATCAAAGATAAGGCCATATTTACATAAAGTGATAGGTTTAAGATTTAGAGGTTCTCCTTGGATCCCTGAGTGTCTGCAGACAAATGTGTAGGGGGAAGGGCTGAACGTAAAACAGGGGTCAGTAAACATTTTCTTAAAGGACCACATAGGAACTATTTTATATTTTGCAGGCCATATGGTCTCTATCAAAAACACTTACTTATCTCTACTGTTGTAGTGCAAAACAGTCACAGGTAATACACAAATGAATGGGCGAGGCTGTGATCCAATAAGACTTTATTTACAAAAACAAGCAGCTGGTCAGCAGACATTAAATGGTATATAAATTCTATGTGCTCATATGCATAGTTGCCTTCATTGTTGTTATTAGGAGGTCCATAGCTTTCCATAGCTTCTTAAACAGGTTCAAAATCCAAGATGGTTAAGACCAACAGGTCTAAATGGTTTCCAAAACTCTCTAAGCTTAGACATTCCAGGGTTTCATAATTCAGCTTGCCTTTTACATTAACAACCCCTTAAAGATTCTTTCTCCTTAGCAGGGTTTTTTTGTGGGATTCTGCTGTGAACTGTTGAGTGGATAGTAATTACTAACTTTTGAGAAGGAAATGTGAGTCATTCTACCATTCAGCCTTCCTTGGTTTACCTGGTCAGATGATACTGGCTACAACACAAATATATTCCAGACTGGAATACAGCAGCTCAGTCCTGCCCTAGATCGTCTGAGGTTTGCTGAGGCTTTTTTTCTCCTGCCAGAGACCTCTTTCTCTGTTCTGTTGAGCTTTCTGCACAGCAAGAACTTACTTGTGCTGACCACGCTAATATGCAGCTCAGATTCTAAAGTCAGCCTGGTCAGCCCAGGTATGGTGTGGAGGGGAGGGATATTGCTGGATGTATTTGACTGAGGCCTTTCTGTATTTGTTCAGGTATCCTTTCTCTCCAAAGGAAACATTTCTCTTAGGATTCCCTAGCTTCACGAATTAGAGCATATTATTCAATGTTTGTGACCTTGTCAACATGTACCTCTACTCTGCCTCCCACCTCAGGGGTCTTGTCTTCTCCTAAGTAGACTCTCTGGGTAGGGATTGATGATTATACTCCATTGCATCCACCAACAAGCCCAGTAGCAGGCTTTGCACGCATGTGACAGGAAGAGTAACAAATTGAAGTAAAGAAACCATACAAGTCATGTTTTAGTTTATCAGCACTGAGATTCCTGAAAGCTATGGCCAGTTTCAAATTCTTGCATCACTTTTGAAAATCAACATAAGAGTTGTTCAATCAACTTGAATAATAAACAGGATCATTTCTCTGGGATGGCTTCCAGCTTTAAATTTTAAGAATAGCCACAACAAAACCCTGATATTTTAAAACCTGGAAGTACAAATACTATGAATCATAAGGTAATTGCTTTCATATTCCAGGTTTTTCTGAGAATGTAGCATTAGGTAAAGAGGCAGGATAAAGAAATAGAAGGGGAGGAAGAAATGGCAGAGACTGGAAGAGAAGAAGAGAGTAAAACAAGAGGAACAAAGAAACAGAGGAATCAGATGGAAAGGATGAACACAGAGTGAGTCTGTACTGTAACCAACTACTGCTGGGTTGAAATTCCGTGTCATTAGCACGCAGCTATTTCTCACAGCAAGTACCCCCCAAAGAGGGAAATAAACCAGCAAATGAAAGTAACAGGAGCATAAATCACTTAGCCAGTACTTATGGAGACTCTATCTCATATTAGACTACTGTATATATCACATCAGGATTAGTGTTAACTCTCTGAAATGAAACATCAATAAGAAGACCACATGGTGCGGACTCTACCCCCAACTAATATTTCAGTTCAGTTTTAATTATCATGTTCATCTGGCAGCAGCATGGTGCCTGTAAATAGAAATGGGTCATGAGGGGCTTGGGCTCTTGTCCTGGAATATCATTACATGACCTTGGTTGGCCAAGTTCTGTGCCTTGGTTTCCTCATTTGTTAAATTTAAATAAGAATTCTCTGCTCTGCTTATTACACAAAGGTGTTAGGAAGATGAAAAGTGAAAATACACACACACACACACACACACACACACAAACACTTGGATGAATATAAAATGCCAGATAAATGTAAAATTGACCCTGTTCTCTTCACTTAACTAGGTAGTGGGTAGGCGGGGGGGGGGGTGGGGACCATGGCATTTTGCACAAAAGGCTTGATGACTTAATGAAGTGTCTTCCTCCCCCCAACCCCCCAGTAATATCTGGTCTGGGATTATTACTGCTTTCTCGATGTTTTTAGACATACTTTTCTCCTTCAGAAATGCCAAAGGTGAAAAATACTATTTCACTGCTATAATTTGTCACCCTTGCTGCCTGAGCAAGACATGCATAGACAGTTTAGTAATTAAGCTTTTCAACACTGGATCATAAAGTTTTATTCTGGAAAAGGCTATATTTATCAGCTAACAAGTATTAAATTGCCCCACTGCTCAAGCCATTTCTCACTTGAATACGCTCCTTTCAAAACAGAACAGCCTTCCTTGGCTGGCTTGATTAATAAAAGTTCTTGCTTGGTCACTGTTCTACTTGGTGCTCATTCCGATCTCCCAGAGGAGTTTGATACCTTAGCCCTGTGGTCTCTCAGAGCATCCTGGCCAGCGGAATTTTATGGCCCTCTGTCCAGGAGGAGACATTTCTGCCATTTCATTTCTAGTGGGGAAAAGGTGAAAGAAAATCTAAATGTAAAATAAGTTTTCGAAATAATTAAAATAGCAAAGTAACAATGATCTACATATTAAGTAGGGTTTTGTTTTCCCTCATATTGCCATAGTTTTATAAAAACAGATACAGAATTAGAATGAATAGATATTAAAAGTCATTAATAATGGCTTAGAGAAGTACTCTCTCCAGCCAACCCATCCCAGCTTCACAAATCTTTTTTTCCCTTCCTTTGGAGGACATAAATTCATTAAATAAATATAGCATTGTTTTTATGCTTTCAGTCAAATGGCTCCAGAATTATATTTGTTAAAAAACAAAATAGTTAATAAATTTGAATAACTTTTCTACCATATTTTAAGGATAAATATGGTAGAATATAGACAAAGAAAATATGGTACATGTATACCATGGAATATTATGCAGCCATAAAAAATGAGATCATGTCCTTTGCAGGAACATGGATGGAGCTGGAGGCCATTATCTTTAGCAAACTATCACAGGAATAGAAAGCCAAATACCACATGTTCTCACTTACAAGGAGGAGCTAAATGATAAGAACATATGAACACATGGAGGGAAACAACAGACAGTGCGAGGAAGGAGAGGCCCAGGAAAATAACTAATGGGTACGAGGCTTAACTCCTGGGTGACAAAGTAATCTGTACAACAAATGCCTGTGACACAAGTTTACCTATATAACAAACCTGTATAAGTACTCCTAAATTTAAAAAATTAAAAAAAATGTATAAACAAAGACAAATGTTAGTCAAACAAATATGGGCCAAAATAACAAACAAAAAATCACATTTTTCATTATTTTATTGACACTACAATTTTTCTTATTCCTCTCCTTGCTTTCAAAATAAGTGACATTAACCACATGTAGGCATTTATGATTTTCACCAATATATTGCTAAAAGGAAACATAATAATATGCTATTGGGTCACAAAACCCACTTTGCAGCCATATAAGCAAATCCTGTCTGTTCCTGTGTATGTGTATGTGTAACAGTGGACATGTAACTGTGAAACTTTAAACACTATGACAATAAGAAGCCTTTTGTTGAACTTTTGTTAGTTTGAGAGGTCGCACTAATTTCTCTCCTTTCAAAATGCTGAAAAAGAACTCACCATTTTGCTTTTCAAATTAGCAACAGGTAGCTGGTTTGGAAGGCTGGAGATTGATTTCTCTCCAGCTAGCAAGTTGTGGGGTCAGGTCACTGAGTCATGTGGGTGATATGCTGAACTGCCAATTTGGTAAATATTGAACTATTTTAAGTGCATCTATTTTCTGGTTCAGTAAATTTTTTATTGTGTTAAATTCATTAAACTTGACACAGTCTAAATGCCACAGCACATACTGGAGAGCCCATAAAGGTAACAGCACCAGCCATAAAAGATAGCAAAAGGTAAGGATCAATATATTTTCTCTCAGTTTCTATTTAATTTTTATCTTTCATATTAGGACTGGAATTTGTTTTAAAGTTAAAAAGTACTGTGTGGCTGGGAAAATCAAGTGGAACCTTATTATTTTCTGAAAATCTGAAGGAAGGTCTCTTTGTCAGTCAAGTTGCCCTCCACGCTAAGATGATGCCATATATGACCTATAATTCAGGATCACTTAATAACTTGGGAGATAAATGAGAAATAAGAATTACACTCTGTTATCCACAGTTTGGAAAAATCTTGTTCTGTAATTTGCAAAAATATTGATTCAAGGACACATTTGAAGACTTAAGATGGGGCCTTGATAATGTGATTATTCTTTATTCAGAATTGAAATTTTAATGAGGACAATCAAGTTTTTGGCACATGAACTGCTATTGCGATTTAATGTATTTTTTTTGAGAGAGTCATTTGTTATTTTTTAAGTACCACTTTTCCTCCAACAAGTAGTCATAGCAATTCAGAAAAGTAGGGAAAGGTACAAGGTGTGAGGAATTTCCATTCTAGCATGGGTTGTAACTATTAAAATTACAAAATTGATTTTATACTCCACATGAAAAATGATAAGTGAAAAACATTTTTCCAGTAATTTTTCTTAACAAAATAGAAAACAAAATGATCAATAACAGAAAATTGTGAAAATAAAAACCTAATGTACATGTAGAGAATAAGGATATAGGCACTAAACATAATCCTTTAAAGCTTCCAGAACACATAAGGCAGAAGTGATACAGCCATCAAAGTTGGACTGAGTAAATCCATCCCCTCCACAGACAAGGAAAGGTTTGCGATGCAGAGTCATTTGGCCAGGACAGTTGGCAGCAGCATTTGTAACCTGAAAAAATAAAAAGAGGATTGCAATTGACATTCTGTGCTCTATTGTGCTGTCATGGCAACATCCACCTGGAAAAGGCTAGTCTACCTGGAGAAATCAAGATTTCTCACAAGGAGAACCAGAAAAAAAAAAAAAAAAAAAAAAAAA